GCAATAAAATATATAAAAACTGAACTGAATTATAAAATGCATTGTTTTTAAAGCTGACACTAGAGTTGGAGGTTTTAATGATACTGTGGCATTCCACCGAGTTGGAAATCAATACTGTCAGAGATTTTGTGCTAATTAAACTACAGTCCCTTTTCACCGAAGCTGTTTTCATTTGCTGTAGTTCAAACTAAATAATGGCTGATATTAAGCTGATGTTTATGTTGTACCTATGAACATCTCATCAGTGTGACACTGGGTCAGAATGTTCAACATCAGATCCCCGAAACTGGAGGATCAAACATCGCTCCACTGATGCATTGACCTAATAGCTGATGTTTATGCAAATAAACTTTAAGTTAGTCAACCAATCAAGTCAACTCAATCAGTTTCTAATATAACATCTAATATAAAGGTCTTGTTTTACCCAACTAACAGTCAAATATCCAGACATATGAAAACAAAAAGAAACAATGGAAAGGCTGGAACCAGAGAATGCATTAAATATTGCAAATTTTACAGTAGACAAGTGTGCTCTCCAGGGTCTTTTGCAGAAACACAAAGAAATGGGGGTGATCTGCCAAAACAAACAAAAAGCCAACAAGCAAGTGTTTCGGGGTGATTAGCCAGCCTCATAATATATGCTAATCAAGGATCCAGGCAGCAAAGATGCATGAATTTCTGTCTATAAGCTGCCCAACAAGCAATTGAAGCAAAATAATAGTAAAACAAATATTAGGATGTTGGTCAGCAAATTTCAAAATCAATACATGCTTAATGGATCAGCAGTCAGATTAAAGTAAAATTAGGGTGGCAACCTCTTAGTAAAAGTTAGTGGTTGACCAGTGATTGCAGTTGTTCTCAGACAGGTTTGCACATTACTGGTGTCTAATTGACCATGTGCACGAGAAAATGCTAACTTCCTGGTTTGAGACCAGATGTAGGGTTGTACATTTCCGGTAGCTTTGGTTTGCGGTCAATCGCTATTGCGAAGATATACTCCAAAATCATGTCCAAAACTCGAAAACGGAAAGATCGCGTTAAGTTACAAAGAGCAGAAGGTGGGAACACTCACTGCTGTTGTGTCATAAAAAATCTAATGATCAATTTTGATGTTTAAAGAGTTTAGATCGATCAGTTGTTTACATCACTCAACAGCAGAACTGCATTACTGCAGCAGAAGACACATCGTCCACATTCAGAAGCACATCTCTGTATAGTGACTGGTCTTATGATTTAAACAGGCAATTGTTCAGCATTCAAACTACAGGTGAAGAATAGTCAAACCAGATGTTTCCCCCGTTATGTCGAGATCAGCTAGTCAAGTACACACCTACACAGCATGTTAACAAACCGTGAAAAAAGCCACACAAAAAATGAATGATTGCTGGTAAGGGTTTCTATACATTAGTATGTACGAAGGGTATGTTGTGACTTACCTTAAAAATTACAGTGGTCCCTTGCTATTAACGCGGTTCACCTTTCACCTCGCTGTTTCACAGATTTTTTAGTGCAAGTTTGAAATCAGTCTGAATTGTTCTTTTCATTTCCCGTTTATCATCACAGATCTGGTCCCTGCCTTTGAAAATGGCAACAAAGTCGCAAGTTCATTGAACAAAGTTGCAATAATTTTGGTCATGCTATGATAACATAAGCTAGACGGTTAATGGAATTGTTTATGATATATTATCTTCAAAGACTTTATAATAATAGCTCATAATAAGCGCACGCAATCAACAAAAACTGCTTAAATAGTGCAGAGTTCATTTGGGTGGACGATGGCTGTTGCGACCGAGTCGGAAATTCCAGTGAAGACGGTGCTGGATGTTGGAGTTTAGAAACATAATTAATGCAGACAAAGTTTCTACAGACTCCATCTCTCCCTTGAACATCTTACTCTCACTCATCTTTGCATGGATCATAAAATTTAAATGCACTTTCAATCAAACACACCCAACATTTTTATGTGCAGAATAACAATGCATAAAACAGCAAAGATGGCTGCGTGTGTGAGGCGAGAGATGCAGACATGCAGAGCCAGCTAGGAGTGTGTGTGTGAAAGGGACCACAACTGTCTTTTAATTGACCTCTTCCATCATTACAGATTCTCTCTACAGAAGTCTTGAATGAGCTGTCCAGTCTTTTATCACTCTCTCTGTCTTTGTCTCTGCCATTTCTCACCCTTGTTTTTCATGATTTTCCTTACACTATACTCCGTCTGTTTTAGTCTAATTTTTCA